GCAATCTGTGCAAACTGTAGACACCCATCCCCGGTTCTGGTCGTCTGCTGCATCTCGAGTGGATTTCAAGTACATTTTGACCATAATGCCGAATTTATGTTGTCATGGCCATGATTATCCGTCCCCCTAGCTACATGATTGCCAGGCCACCAAAGTTGTACCGGTTTCCTTGCGCAGACTTCACTTACTGAGAACGTATTCGCTTGATTTATGAAATTTTCCCACCCTTTTCCTCCTCGCGATCCCTCTTCCTCTGATTAACGATAGGTCCTTGACCCGGGCGTCTTCTTTTTACTTGTTGAGCTTACTTCCATTTCGAGTGGAAGTGTGTCGATTCTACCAGAAGACGACGGCGGATTCCTCTTGACCAGCTGTCGTTTGGCTTTACTGGAAGATTCATACTGACGCTGTTTCCCAGGCAATCTCCTTCGATTGCGGTAAAAAGGCGCTAAGCTTTTATCCGTCAAATGACGGGCATCATTAGAGCGAGATAACATCGTCACAACAAAATTCAAGCCAACGAGTCAAGAAAACTCACCAGCAAATTCCTAAAAAGTGGTATATATACTCTACATCTGGCCTCTTTGATCAAGTAAAAAGTGATTTTATTAGTTAAGGTCATATGTGGAACCGATCTTCGAATCTCTTCACCCAACACTTTAACTCGAAATAGAAGTAAGCTCAACAATTATGAAACAAGAGATTCCTCAAAACCCAACTTTTCTTTGCTTTTTCTTTTACTTGTCTCATCGTAACCTTTTTTTTCCAAGTTTGCTTAGGCAATTGGCAAAGTTATCACTAACTTTGCCTTTTTCCAATCTCCTGTCAATTAATTTTTTTCCCTAAGGATGCCAATAGCCCTCGAAGCTTCCGTTTCTTTACGTTTTCACCGTATCAGGCCATGCTTTCTGATGCCTTCCAATGGATCTGATGTCCAGTCTGTACGATGTTTTTTACTACATTCGATCTTTCGATCTTTCCCTTCAGAGCCTTTGATGTTCCTTGATTTACAGGCTGATTTTTTTCACTGATTTGCCAACATATATTATGTTCTCAAACACCGCAAGAACTATGCAGCAAAGTCTTGAGCAATCCAATTTGTCCATTCTTAAATATGGCCTAATCGTGGACGGGAACTGAGGGCTCCTAGGCAGCCAGATTTCAGACAGCCAGACAGCGATTTTGCTGAGTAGAAGCCTTGAGTTTGGCTATATAAAGATAATTCAAACTGTCTTCAACAGTATTTTATTTTATTAACAATTTTATCGGTCTCAAACTCAGGAGTAAACGAATTGATATAACTAATGTATCAAACATTATATAGATTAGACAAGAAAATATTTTATTTATTGGCATCGAAATATTCGTGATACATGTTTACCGCCATGATTTTAGTCAACTAGTCCGGTATGCAAATTACTTCTGAATAGAAATACTAGCCTTGTATATTTTAAACATCAAAATTAGCCTTAATACGATATATTTTTTTCTTTAATTTGCTGAACAAGTTTGGGGATAATGTGGACTTTAAATTTTTCATCGTCAAGCTATCCCTAAATATGCTAATTTTTTAACCAACACATTTAGCTTTGTTGCTTCTAGGAGTTATGATTGACTATGGAATTTTAATGAATTCAATGTACAGGGTAGATGAACTCGTCGCCTTTTAACATTGGATTATAAATCTGTTGTTTCAATAAAATGAGCACTGTTATGGATAAACAAAATATTTCCTGCTTAGAGAAAGAGTTTACGATAGCCCTGGATACTCACGACAATGGCTATAGAGCAATTTGACTGTCAAATGAATATAATTAATAATATCGTAATTTATTTGCCCGAATTACACTTCTATTTTTAATGAATAGAGTATAATTAGATATTTGTGAAAGAACTCTAAACAGACGTTTTTTCTTGCCATAATATTTTCATACTTTGTTTCGATCTATTTTACATTTACCGGGTTAAGATTTGAGGTGCACATAGTCAAAGAAATAGATTTTCCCTTGAAGAAGTTAAACAATAATTGGTTATACACTTCAGTCACTATTAAGATATAAATGACATTATTGAAAGTGCTACAATGCAAAATAATTTTTCGCAATTCATAAGTATCCTATCACGGTCAACTAAGGAATATGTACCCTCAATAAAATGTCGTTAAAGAAGAAATAAGTTCACGAAGAGATACGAACTATATAATTTAGATCAAAGATAACTTAAAATGAAGAAGAGAGGAAAGAAAAAAGCTGGGTTTCAAAAACCAATATTCAATAAAGAGAACCTTCTTATCCAAAATGAATTTTCAAACGAATTTTAACTCATACATATTGACTCGAACAAAGTCATTTAATTTGTTTTATGTTCAAAAATATTTCATTGTTAACTGCGAACTTAGCTGGCTACTTGTCAAATGGATATACTTTTAGTTTGGATCTGATAGACTTGTGCATATCTAAGGTTGCGCTTCAAGTTTGCTGCAGATATTCTTAAAATGCCAAAAACCCGACGAATTCTAAGTCCAATTTCCGAAAGTAGTAAGATAAATTCTGTTAGCAAGCAATCTGGTTTGAATAAGAGGGATGCCTATATGTTGCATAGCAAATTAGAACATGAAATTATTTTCATGAGCTCCACTCATACCGTTACAAAATATATATGAAGCCTATAACGGATGGATAATTCATTTTTTCCGAGACAGTCTATTACACATGACCCAAATCAGCATGAAATTAAATTTGTGAAAAGGTTTTCAAAAATAGCTGAAGTGAAAGCCATGCATAGATCACCTTGGTATTCCAAGTCACCTAATATATTTAATGATTACAAATGAGTGGTTTTCAATTAATGACATAAAAATTTATTTCTCTTAGTTGCTCAAAAACTTTCTACTCTTGAGTGGACTAAGACATTGACCCAGCCTGAAGTCTGTCACACTCCCAAGCGGGTTACTAAACGTTGATGTAAGAGGCATTAAAGGAATCCTAGATAGTTTTTAGCTAGTTTTCTGTAAGTTTAAATCGGGTACAGTTTTTATTTTTTGAGCAAAGAAACTTTGCTAAAAAGTTTAGATGTCCGCTCATACTACAAACAAAATTTTAGACAAGTGTGTTGACCTCGTTGTTGCAACTTGGTCTTGTTCTCAAGGCGACTTAGTAGAACTCACCTAGTCCGAAGTCGTCTGCCATAGTAGTTGCCGTGATTTCCAGCATCAGACAGTGGACATCACTTACTGACAGCGTTTTCGCTTGATTGCTAAAAACCCCCGCCCCTCC